AACATTTTTTGCTTTTCTTAAAAAATTTTGGTTTAAAAACTTTTTTTTTTTTTTTTTTTTTTTTCATTTAAATATTCTCTGTGCTCGTCTTTATTTGGCTTCATGTTCCTCTGAAGGGTAAAATGTTAATGCACCGACATCCAGAATACCATTCCAGGCGAGACTAACGAAGGCCAGAAACTACTTCAGTGCTTAACTTACATAAAATCACTCGTTTTCTTAGCTCATTTACTGACATAATAGTGCAAGGGAGTTGGAGGGCCAAATCATTAGGGGATAGGAAAGGCAGCTAGTTACACTTAACAGCTATTGCAGCAAGACAGTAGAGATAAACTGGAAGGTGTATCTGCTAAACAAATCTCTCTTTTGTTTCTAGGTGTGGTCACTGTAAGAACTTGGCTCCAACTTGGGAGAACCTTGCCAAAGAGCAATTTCCAGGTTTGACTGATGTCAAAATAGCAGAAGTAGACTGCACTGTGGAACGTAACGTCTGCAGCAGATTTTCTGTAAGTGTGAAAGGGCTGAACTGAACGGGATAGTATTGTGTACCGAATGTTGGAGGCTCCAGTGTGCAGCCAAGCCGGCTGCTGCAGTGCGGGTGCCTGGTGACAGTGCAGCTGTGCTCTCCGTTAGCCAAAAAAAAGAGGTAGTTCAGAACAGCACCTGGGGACACCGTTTCTTTCCTGGACTGTTTGTTCAGACTGGGTCAGTCTCATTATTGGATAAAGCTGAAGAAGTCCCTAATTTAAGAAGCCTCCCTCTGTGAAAGCACCAAAGCAGTCTTGTGGTAGCTGATGCAAAGTTCTGTTGCTAGGAGAAAAAAAAAAAGTCTTTTGGTGCTGGTAGGCAGGCAACCGACGACAGAGCTGGAGCTGCCATTGCAAGAGCCTAGAGGAACATGTATTACCCCATTCACTTACAAATGTTCAGAAATTGCAGGTTGGCACTGGAAGTTCTGGTGTGGTGTTCGGGTTTTTTTTAGATTAAAATTGCTTATTGTTTTAGAGGGGTTTGGTGGCTTCTCAGAGTCAGGTGTAAATACAAGTGAAGGATACTGGTGAGTTTGGACATTAGTAACAAGTTTCTCTTTTGTGTGCGTGTGTCTTTTGAAGGTACGTGGTTATCCTACGCTTCTGCTTTTCCGAGGTGGAAAGAAAGTCAGTGAACACAACGGAACGAGAGACCTTGAATCACTGCATAGCTTTGTCTTGCGGCAGGCAAGGGATGAGTTGTAATAAAAGTCTGGATGCTCCCTCCCTGGCTGTCTTTGTACCGTAGCTGAGGGATTTCAATCATTGCTAATTTTCAAACAGTGTATTTGGGGGTGGGGGTGGGGATTGGGGCTTTTTTTGTTTGTTTGTTTTTAGGAAATTGAATGTACTTAACATTGGTATCTTCCCTCTGTGTGTGTGTGTGTGTGTTAAAGACACGCTACGCTGTGCGTGAAGGAAAGCTAACAAGTAGTTACTGTGCAAACTGAGAATATTTTCAGCATTGGTAGTATTACTGCATTTCTGCGTTCCCGCAATGAAGTGTAAATGGTTTCCTTTGAGACTAAAATACATTAAGAAAACCAACTTAAGGGCACCAGTAGAATATTTTTGTCTTCAAGTTAGTTAGATTTGGTTAAAAAGTAATCCTTACAAACTGCCCACCATTACTAGAAAGGTAAAAGCTACAGCTGCGTTGAGTCGCTTTTGCCTCTACGACTGTACTTAAACTCTACTTGTCTTAATATAGCTGCTGGTTAAGAAATGGAAAGTCATGGGAGGCTGAAAACACACACACCTTCGGAAGATACCAGGCCACCGTGAGCTGGTTGTTTCCTGTTAATCCTCTCAGCATGGGAGGTCTGGCCATAATGGAAGCGATGGTACTGTAACACGTGCCTGAACGTTACTGATGCCGTACTGTACATGTGTCAGGTGGATTGTTGTAGGCTGCTTCTGTCCAGCTCCAGGGGAGTAACTATGCTCTACTTATATAGAGCCACGGTGAACAGGCGCCATTATAACTGCTCCGTTAATATTACACGATCAGTTAGACCTCAGAGCTGATGACATGTGTTTCCTACCCTCGCCTGAATCCGGTCTTTGTGCTGACCTGCTCCTTATTCAGAGTACTTAAAAGAACAAGTAGTACAATGTTTAATTTTTTTTTTCCATTCAGCTGTTCTACAGTAGTGTAAAATAGTTCCCCACTCTTCTTGAGCCTTAACCTTTTTCCAAGCTGTAAGCGTTGGTAAGTTTGAATGCTAGGACCATACACTCTGTGCTGCCTTGGATTGTAATATGGATCTGTTCTTTGGTGCACAAGATGTTCCATCTCGGACATAATTGAAAGCCAAAGAATTTACACTGCAGAGACTGTCACGATACAAAGACAACGGCAAACCAAGGACTGAATTCTGCCATCTCGTGTGCACAGAAACTCACGAAATGAGGATGGCTACAGGCTAATTTGACTGATCTGTCAAGATGCTGATTTTTGTCCATCATATGGAGTAAAGTTGGGGTTGTTTTTTTTTTAAAAAAAAAAAGGCAAAATAGCAATGAACTTTTAAATCAGTGAATTTCTCCTGGTACTTCACTTCACTGTCTGTCCAGAACTTTTGATTCTGTTCAGTCTAAAAATGTGTAAGGGTGAAAAACCCACGGTAAAAGCTAAGTGTTGTACTGGCAGATGTATTGGATCAATGTATATACTTCTGCCTTAAAGGAAGCCTTTATTATCATGTTTTTAACAACTTTCTAGTGAAGCACAGTCTCATGAGTTTCTTGTATAAAATCGAAGTGGTACAATTGTTTACACTGAGATTTTTCTAAATAAAAACTTTTTAAAAAAGCAATCTTTCTATAAATGATACAGCACAATGAATATACAGTGACAAGTGCAATAAATTATAGCTTGTATTTACAAGAAGCCTTTTAAATGCAAGAATTAGAGGTAAGTGCATTTAATACAAGTTTAATATTGATCAAAACAATTTGCTATTAGCTTCTGCTAGACAAACCGTGGCTACGCTGTGAATGTATCCCTTATACCAGTTTGTTAGTTGCGTGAGTTGAAGGGGAAAGGTTGGCCAAAGACGTGCATGCGTTGTTGACATTCTGTCTTCCTGTAAATAAATTGTCCGGCTAGAGAAGGAATGGCCCCTAAACTTTTACGTCTGAATTACAGCTGTAGAAGCGTCCTGACTTCCTTCCTGGGCAAGTGGTAGTAGATGAGGCAGCTCCCTGTGGGGAGCGGAAGGAGGTTGCATAAGAACGAGAGTATAAAGTTATACTGCTCGGTCAAACAGCAAAGGGGCAGGACCAGCCAGGGGCTGAGTTCACGCTAGTGCTTCTAACACAGGGTGCAGCCAAGCCAGCTTACGCTTGCAGGACTAGACTTAAACTGTGCTTGGACAATACGAGAACTGAAACGTTAGCTTTGGCACAACTTAAGATGCTTACTGTCATGACAGATTTCAGGAGGAGACTAACAGTCTAGGTGTGGTAACTGGTCCTTCTAGACAAAAGGCAATTCCTAACCTTAGGAATTTTTTATTATCTTGTACGAGACGTATGCTCTAAGTCTGAAGTACTAACAAACACCACTTTCTTTAGCTTCCCTGACTCTCCCCTCATCTTCCCCCCACAAAAAAAACTCACTTGTTTTGGGTGGTGGGTGCCCATCTGGTAAAACTGCAGCACACATCCGAGCCAAGCCACTATGCGAGACTAAGACCGTCCCAGCCAAATAAAGCGTGTGTGGGCATATTGCTGCTTTGCACGCCCCGGCTCTGCAGAGCTGTGCAGCCACCGCAGCATAGGGTCAGTCTGTAAGAAGTCCAGCGGTTTGCTTGCGCCCCAGCGTGTGGTCCCCACACCCCTTCCTCCCACAAGGCACGTACATGGTGTTCTAAAAGGTGGTTTGTCAATTATTTTTTTCTCCAAGGTCAGGTAGTTCATGGAAGCATGGAAGGTAGTATGGAAGTTCACGGTAGAATCACAGAGTCCGTGTGAAGACTGTTTGTCAGTGACATCCACAAGCTCTTACTACCATATTCCTGTATTTCTTCAAGATTACGTTAGAATTATCATCGAAATAAAGAACAGATATGGCATTTAGTTTGGTAGGTGCACAGCATGGTTTGGGAACGTAATCAGGATTCATAAGATGAACCTGTTGCCAAAAAGAAAGCACAACTCAGACAACGGTAACTTGTTTACAAATTCACCTATTGGTTTGGCATCGAGCTTTCTGGAGACTTACCAGAGTTTGTACAATGGCATGATTGGTTGCGTTCATATGGGCATTGAGCGGGAATGAGCACTCTCCATCACAGTAGTTGGCTGCGTAGCCCTTCGGAGCGATTATCCAGTCCTTTTTAGGAAACAAACAGAACGTGATTCAAGTTAAAAGGTTGCCAACTTGTACAGACAACTGCATGCAATTAAGAGCAGCTGAAAATTTTCCACTAACTTTTTTTCTGGAGGGTGAAAATGTGTTTTCACTGAAACTGTTAGGGTTTTGGTTTTTTGTTTTTCTTTTTTTTTGAGCCATGACTTTTCCACGGACACACTGATTTTAATGTCCAAAGAAAGGTGCACATCTATGCACAGCTTAACTGCCACGAACTAAAAGAGTTTTATTCCTAAAACTCTTGCTGGGTTGCCTTGTGGGGATTGTGGTTTGGATGCCTTTATGCTCCAACGTTTCCTGCAGGTTAGGCCCTCTGGCTGAACTACCTTTCCTAGGTTGAATCACAGCCTCAGCTGGTGTCCCCTCCTGGAGAAAATAACGTACCTGTACGCGCGTGCGTGCACACATCGACAATTCAGCCAGGGAGCTCCAGAACAGGAATATAAAACACCGGTGTGGTGCCTCACAGACACTCTACCTGATACACTCTTACACAGGGACGCTAGGCTGCTAAGGCCGCTGTGGGAAGTTTCAGCTGCGTAACACCTTCTCCACCTCTGCCAGACTCCTCAAGGAAGGGCAGGACAGCCACCCTCAGCTGCTTGCGCAGGCAGGTGGCCGCGGTGGCGATCTGAGCGCCATGCCAAAGGGCTAATAAAAAAATTACAGCTGCTCTGCTACTGACACAAAAGAGCCAAAGGTCAATTAAAAGCATCACCAATTAGCAAGAGACATTTCGCCTCCCTCGGTGTCAGGCTCTGCAGGTCACCCTGCGGGAGGACCTACGGGTGCTCTTCACATGCACATAATTCTTAGACGATTTCCCCTTCAGCTGACAACAGTTACCTGGGTTAGCATGACTTTTGCTGCAGCAGGCCTGAGCTAGCAACTTTGCTAGCCAGTTTGCTGTTTGATTGCTAACATGAGGATACCTGGGCATAGCAAAGCCACCCCTTCATTTTACTGTACTAGCTCACCCATAATTTGTTCCTGGTAAACTGAGCTACTTTCATAAGAGAGTCACTCTCCTGCTACAAAAGCCAGTACAGACTGTGTAATTAAATCTGTGGTTTAATGCAGTATAAGAATAAGGGAAGTGCTCTGCTGCTAAAAAAAAATTGATGCTAAAAAAATTGATGGATGTTCTGAAGGAGATAGCAGTGCCCAGCAACTGCAGCCCTGCCTCCATCGTCTCCCTACAACAAGTAGGATCTGGATTCCAAGTCCTGCAAAGAGCCCTGCTGGTCTGTGGCCTTCCTTTGGCAGCATCTTGCTTTTCTGCTCAAGCCTGCAGCTAGAGAGGTGAAGGCAGTGCCTCTGAGACCGTGAACTTCACAACTGGAACACGCTTCCTGCCTGCAAGCGGGGCAAGCGAGCAAAGGAGGAGGTGGAAAGACTGTGCACAAGTAAAAAGAAAAGCCACTAACAAGTAATGGGGAGTGGCGTCAGCACGCAGCCACAGTTGTGGCCAGTGGGCTGGAGCTGACATAAGGTACAAAAAAATGCTGCTGTCCCATTAGCTGGGAGAGGACGCTCATGTGTAGGGTATTACAGAAGAAGCGGGGGCAGCCCTGGCATCCTGAACTATAATCTGGTAAAAACATTAGCTGACAGAAATGGGACCTCCCTCACAAAAGTACTCAATGAAAGAATAAAAAAAATGAAAAAAAAAATTTTTTTCAAAAGAAAAGATGAGGGCATTCTTTGAAGCGTGATGTTTGATGACACTATGGCCTGGTCCTAAATAACCTACTCTAAACAACTCCAGCCTCACGGTGTTGCAACTAAGCCCAGTCTTCAATCCACCTACCGCAGCCAGTGCTAATTGTAGGGCAGGGGTGGAGGATTTCAACACATTGGCCAAGGTTAAAATTAGGCTGATCACTAGAAAAAACTTGATTTCATTAAAATCACTGCTTAATATCAGATTTTTTTTCCTTATCATTAGAGGTACATCGATATGAGCCCTTGCCCGTACTGTGACTCCCATGAGTGACAGAGAATGACTGTATACTTGAATCTCATAAAGTATCAAGCTTCCTCTGGATCTTATCAAATGTCACAACTATCAATATTTATTTGCCCTTCCCTGTGACTGGTTTTAGTGAGGAGGCACAAGGGACATTTTAAAGCATAATGGCAGCCTCGAGTGGAATTACCGTGACACTGTTTAGATAACATTTCATAACAAAATGTCTAGTTTACCCAGAGAGAAACATCACACACCTGCCATCCCAAGTCTTGGAAGCTAACGTAAAGCTCATGCTTTCTGCACGCTGTTTTTAAGTCACTGCTGTTGTAATCTGTAAAAGAAAAAGAACAAAACAGGAATTTAGAAAGTAAAACAGGCAGAGCATCGCTGGAAGGCACAGCTGGCCAGATGTGTGCATGCTGTGGGCTCAGCAGCGAGAAACGGCGAGCTCCCTCAGCAGCCATAAGGATCAGGGTGTTGAGGGACATCCAAAACAGGGCTGAAGCTTTTAAGATGCCTAGGGGAATAGAGGCACCCAAGTAACAGTGACTTGATTATAATTCCTTCAGCTGCCTTTAATAACTTGACAAGCAGTGCTTGTAAAACACCTCCAGTAAAATGACTTCTTAAAAATAAATCTACTCCTTCAGTCCAGCACA